TCTGAGAGGTATTCTCAGATTTTTCAAAACATCCGAACGAAAGAAGTGGTCTATCCTGTCATAATTTTCCTCTATAATTTTTCGAATTTTGAGACAGATTTCTTTATCAAGGTGAACAATAATCAATTGTAGAGAAAATTGAAAATGTAATGTTCAAGTGAATAGGGTTCAAACGTAAATTAAGCGCCCTAAAGTATGCAACACGAAAAACTATATATTGTTTCAAAACCTATGTTGCTTTGTCATTTTAAATTTACAAATTTAAGAATGTTTGCTTTTTCATATAAAAATATTTCAAATGTACATAAATGATATAATCATCCCATATGAGGTTTGTGGAATAAACCTATATTACAGTATTTTCAGTATTTTTGTCGAATATATTCGACATTTAAAAGTAATCTCTTTCTTTGCGATTTTTCGGTTATCATACGTTTTTGTTTTTGCTGAAAGACAGACGAAACTGCCCGAGGGTTAAAATGACGATTGCTATTTTTTCTAAACTATGTCCCTTTATATGATTTTAAATACAAAATTTTACATTTTTTATTCCGACAAAAATTTTTGTTTGACACGGAAAGGGTTAAATATAATAATATGAGAAGCAAAATGTTCACATTGACATAAATTATAAGTTTTATTTTTAAACAAGTAAAAAGTATCAGTATATACACCTGTAGTGCCGACAGATATATACCCTAAGCCTATGAACCAACCAACTAATTCAACGAGGTCTATTGTAGAGGAGGAGTTTTTTCATTATAAATACAGTGGCTCAAAAAAAAAAAAAACAAAACCGTGATAGCATGTACAAATTTTTGCAATAGAAAAAAATATCTGTAATAATACAATTAAATAATAATCAAATTATATTTTTTTCGCGTCAAAATTAAAGTGGGACATCTGGCATCACATTCACTAACTCTCTACATTTATTTTATTTTTCTATATGGCAAAGCTTCATACTTTTTTTGTAACAACTAACGATTTCGAAAAGAGTTGCTGATATTTATATTTCATAACAACTTCCAAATTGGGTTGACAAAGTGGTCAAACTTTTGCGGAGATTAGACAACTAGTTATAAACCAGTTCGAAGACGGTAAATCGGTCGGAGATATTAGAAAAATCGTGAATAATATTATAATAATATTATTCATAATATTAATAAGTACCTCAAAGCTCACTGCCATGGTGTCACACTATCCTAAAAATCCTAAATCCTGAAACAATTCGAAACATACTCAGAAGAAATAGCATTCATTGAAGGTTGGCTCGAAAAAAAACACTAATAAGCGAAAAACAAGAAAAACAGACTGAAATTTGCAAAAAAATATCAAAATAAAAAATTGTCATTTTGGAAGACAGTTTTATTTACCGATGAAACCTTGTTCGATCTTATGGACCCTCATATGTCTGAAGACGACTAAATGAGGAGCTCGGAGAATGTAATTTACCAGCGACTATTAAGCTTGGTTGTGGATCGATTAGGGTATGGGGTTGCAAGAACAAAAATATTTTGTCTTTAATTCAATTTATTTTATGTACAACCTTAGACAATTAAAATGAAATTCCAATTATGTTTTAAAATTCTAATAAATTAAGATTTAAAGTCATCCCGCTACCAAGAGGAAATAGTTCGTAATCAGAAACTCGTCCATTCCCAGCTCTCCAGTAACTAGTTCCACTTTACACCCCCTTAACAATGTATTTAACTGTTTACTTAAACATGGGGATGTCATAGGAGGCAACCAATTGACACTCCTTCGCTTACCGTAGTACTATACTAGTAATTATATTCTGGAAATAAATAACAATGATTATAATATTATAGTAAACAAGAGGAAATATATGTCTAATACCTTACCTAAAAGAACATTGCAAAAATTACTATACTAATTAATTTACCAGAGTCTTTGTTCTGTAATGAAAATATAATATAATATATTCAATAGAAATAAATTATATATAATTATATATAGAATTACTTTCATATACATCTTTCCGCTTGAGTTCTAAATCATTTGTTTTGCGTGATATATTTCACAATTTGATGCCACCGCACTTCAAGACGATCACAAAAAGACTGGTTATTTCCAAACAAAATTCGTCTTACATTCATGGAGAATAACGGACTTTTTATGCAGACCAACCACAAAAAACCGTGGTTTTTTCTTTAAGATCGCAAGAGAATCCTTCTCGTTTACTACAGGATAAAAAGGTAGTCAATTGGTTCGGCTGATATTACTTTAGGATCAAATTTGAACCTGGTACGGTATAACTAGTGCTGGGACTAGCTACATAACATAAAAAAATAGTTTTTGTGGCTGTTGGGAGAGAATGTTTAAATATGTCGTCGGAGATATAATTGTGCATTTTGAATGTGTAAAAAAATTAGATCCGTACATAGTTTATATTTGTTGTTTTTTAATTGTCTACTAGATAAAATGTTTTGCCTTTAGTTAAAATTAAAAAAATGTCAAAACTAAATTACTCCTGAATATTGACAACAGATTTAACCTGTAATAACATATTTACGAAGATTTATACTCCTACCTTGTGTACAGAGTGTAGCTAAACTTTTGAATAAATTAATAAAAAATATTGTAGGAAAATTGAAATGCATAATTTTATTGATATTTATTTTAAAAACATGTTATTAGTTGTGATATTTCAGTAAATCTTTGTTTTTTATTTATAAATATATACATATATTTTATATAATAAACATATGCTGTGTTATTAAACAGTTATGCGTTATAATTTGTATTTAACTTTATATGAACATTTTTATTTATTGTTATATACATAAATAATTAATTGTATATCCACGTTTCTAAATCACATCAGTTCGAATTATATATCTAGACCTCGGATTTTTGCATATTTTTTATGCTTTATCCGATTGGACTCAAATTTTGTATTTAGGCGTTTCATGCTTTAATTGATCGATATTTGGGGTCATGTCAAAAATATGCAAAAAATATGCAAAATATATGCAAAAAATATGCAAAATATATGCAAAAAATATGCAAAATATGCAAAAAATATGCAAAATATGCAAAAAATATGCAAAATATGCAAAAAATATGCAAAATATGCAAAAAATATGCAAAATATGCAAAAAATATGCAAAATATGCAAAAGATATGCAAAATATGCCAAAATATGCAAAATATGCACGGTATGCTAGGTCGATATGCGATAAATATATGCAAAAAATATACAAAATATGCATTGTCGATATGCAAAATATGCAAAAATATGCAAAATATGCAAAAATATGCAAAATATGCAAAAATATGCAAAATATGCAAAAATATGCAAAATATACAAAAATATGCAAAATATATGCAAAATATGCAAAATATGCAAAAATATGCAAAATATGCAAACATATGCAAAATATGCAAAATATGCAAAAATATGCAAATATGCAAAAATATGCAAAATATATGCAAAATATGCAAAAATATGCAAACATATGCAAAATATGCAAAATATGCAAAATATGCAAAATATGCAAAAATATGCAAAATATGCAAAATATATGCAAACATATGCAAAATATATGCAAAATATGCAAACATATGCAAAATATGCAAAGATATGCAAACATATGCAAAATATGCAAAATATGCAAAAATATGCAAAATATGGAAAAATATGCCAAATATGCAAAATATATGCAAAAAATGCAAAATATGCAAAATATGCAAAAAATATGAAAAAATATGCAAAATATATGCAAAATATGCAAACATATGCAAAATATGCAAAAATATGCAAACATATGCAAAATATGCAAAATATATGCAAAAATATGCAAAATATATGCAAAATATGCAAACATATGCAAAAAATATGCACGGTATGCTAGGTCGCAATATTAAAGATAGAACTTTGAAATTTTGCACATATATTATTATTACTCCTAGGATGTTTGGTATTGGAAATGGGATATATCGGTCCACGTTTTAGTATATCGCCATATAACGGTTATATATGTTTGCATGTTTTATACATATATTTAGCAAATTTTTCATAATGCCCCAAAAATCTAACAGTTGAACCATGAAACGCATACATACACAATTAGATTTCTATAGGTTAAAAATAAAGAAAGCACACAAATTCGAAAACTACCCTGAATTTTTTTTTTTGATTAAAATGATTGCATATGTGAAATATGTTGCTCATATTTGCACATATTTTGCATATTTTTGCCTATATTTTTCATATTTTGCATATGTTTGCATATGTTTGCATATTTTGCATATGTTTGCATATTTTGCATATTTTGCATATGTTTGCATATTTTGCATATATTTTGCATATTTTGCATATTTTTGCATATTTTGCATATTTTTGCATATTTTGCATATTTTTGCATTTTTTGCATATTTTGCATATTTTGCATATTTTTTGCATATTTTGCATATTTTGCATATGTTTGCATATTTTGCATATATTTTGCATATTTTTGCATATTTTGCATATTTTTGCATATTTTGCATATTTTTGCATATTTTAGCATATATTTTGCATATTTTATGCATATGTTTTGCATATTTATTGCATATCGACCTAGCATATTTTGCATATTTTTTGCATATTTTGCATATATTTTGCATATTTTGCATATTATTTGCATATGTTGCATATATTTTGCATATTTTTTGCATATTTTGCATATTTTTTGCATATTTTTTGCATATCTCGTGCATATGCAAAATATGCAAATATGCAAAAAATTAAAAAATATGAACCCTTCAAATAATTCTAAATCCTTTGAAACGAATTTGTGTCCAATCAGAATTTCGATATCTTCACTATTAAAAAATATGCAAATATGCAAAATCCGAGGTCTATATATATCACATCTAAATTATTCAAATATTTTTTCTTAAAATATACATATTACTATATATAAATATTATTTTCAAAACAATGACAAAAATTTTCAAATTTCTTAACTAATATATTCTTATTTAATTTCTAGCTAATCTAGCTAAAGGTGATACATTGGACTCTCCTACTGAGAAAACGGTTACTGATACTAAAGATGCATCTCCCGAACGGCGTATTACTTTTACCATAAGTAGCGATTCTTCGCCTGAGGGCAGTATGACCTTGTCACCGAAAAAATTCGACTCCATTGCCGAAGAGGACACACCTTCAGTTGTCGATGCTGGCAAAGACGAAGATGAAAAAGTAGATGAAGTAATTCTACGACCACGTCTCATTGATCGTCATCCTCATTTAATGCCACCATCCGGCATTACCACTACACCACGTAAAGTTTTGCGCAGCGCCAAGAGTGTACCACACTTCAATGTTCGAACAGCAGCTAGTGAAACAGATATATTCGCCATAACCGGCTCGGGCAATCCCATTAGTATGACACCAGAAGTTCCGTCCATATCGTTTAGTAATTTGCCCAAACACTATGAAGATACACCGACAATTGAAAAATATCGCGTCTCACAATCACTGTATTCAATACAAACGGCAAATGCCGCTCGTGCTGAAGATTATTCAATGCCGCGCTACTTCCGCAAATCGGCCATGATAACGGCCAGTAGTGAAGTATTGTCGGGAACAGGTCCAACGACAACACCCTCGGCTTCTTCTTCGCGTGAAGAAGTCCGACGTCCCGAGAAGGAGAAGAGCAAACGTTTGCAAATGTTGAGAGGAGCCTTGCCACCGTTACTTATACATTCCGTGTCATTCCGCAAAACCCGTGAAGAGGGCAAACAAGTGGATTAATTATTTAAACAAAAAAAAACACTATTTTTATTATTACATATTTTTTACAATTGTAATTTGTATGTAAATACATATGAAAAGTATTTTCGTATCATTTTCTCTCTAATCATCGTTTATAAGGTTTCAAAATATTGCCTTAATTTTTTCAAACAACATATTATATTTTTTTGATTATATTTATCAGTTTTTAATTGTTTTGATTTTTGATTATCTTTACAGTATTTAATGTATATATTTTAATAAATTTAAAATTAAAAAATTAGTTTTATTTAATAAATTAGTTTGCCAAATGTGGGGTAAGTTTTGAAAAAATGTTGTATGTTAGAACTTAATAAAATTACTTTTTTTCTTAAATATCCATACAAGGATTATTAACCATTTGTGCCAGAATTTTTTTTTCCGTAATCATAGAAGTATTTACTGTTCACAGATTCAATGCAACTATCATAAATAGGATATGAACATCCTTGCTTTCGGAAGATACAGTACATTCTTTCTGAAAAATAAAAGTCCAATATCAAGAAAACCAAATGCAAAATCGACGGAAAAATCATTTTTAATTGTTTTCCTTATTATTTTTTACAACAATCAAAAATAATTATGGTGGCCGAATTCGTACAATTCGAATACAACGCGATTAAAATACACTGGACTGTATACACAAATCAGTACTGTACACAATTTTGCCTCTTCTCAATGCTGAAAAGCTCATAACTTTACCAAAAAATTTATTTCTTTTTCGATTTTTCTATTGATATGTGTCGACAATAATAAGGTCTTGACATATGAAATCCAAAGAATATATACCTACTAGCTGCATATTAAATAAAACTTCTAAAACATTTTGTTGCCTGTGGGCAACATTGGGCCACAGCGGATTAATAATTCTTAGACATCTCTAATAAATGTAAAATAGAATTCCCTCTATGACATGGTTTAAACGTCCTCAATGGCGTTGAAAAAATTAAATTGTATCTGGTCCGGTCTGGTCCTAATATTCAGTATTTGACCTATCATCAGTTAAAGTTTTTTTCTTAAAATTCCAATCAGTCCGTTGTATTCGTAGGAAAGCAATGACACCATCCATGTACAGTATATTCCATATATAGTATATTTGTGCCCTTGGTATTACAAACAGTACCATATATGGGCAATATTGCCAATTTTTTAATATTAGTTTCGGAAAAAAGAAAAAGACTTTATTTAACATGCTTCGGAATGTCCGATTTGGGCGAAATATGCACCGTTTTCTGTATGATTTGTTGCCATTTTAAAGGTAACTTCATAATGCCTCTCTCATAAAAGTCCTGCTCTCTATTCTCAAAAAAAAAAACTGTTGTAGTCCGGACGGTATGGCGGATGCATTAAAACTTCCCAACCAAGCTCCCGAAGTTTCTGGCGAGTCACTGTAGATGTGTGTGGCCTAGCGTTGTCCTGGTGGAACACGCACATCTCCTGTTAGACAATTCTGGCCGTTTCTGGTCAATTGCTATCTTCAAACGGTACAGATGTTGACAGTAGAGATCAGAATTAAGAATTTGGCCATACGAAAGCAACTAATAATAAATAATTCCAGTTCCACCAAATGCATAGCAGAACCTTCCTGGCCGTTAGTCCTGGTTTGGCCACCGTTTGATGTGCTTCAGCGCTCTTTGACCACGATCGTTTTCGCTCAGGGTTATCGTATGTGATCCATTTGCCATCTCCAGTCACCATCCGTTTAAGAAATGGGTCTATCTCATTCCATTTGGCCAAGGCTTCGCAGATGGAAATTCGATCCAAACTATTTTTTCTATTAATTTGTGTGGCCCAAACATCAAGCTTCTTTTTGAATTCAGCTTTGTGTAAATGGTTTAAACTGTTTTATGGTCGATCTTTAACATGTCGGTTAACTTCGACCATTTCTTGGATTTTATTGACATTTTCGACGATCGGCCTAATGAATTTCTTTTTTCCAAACCTAATATTTGAAAATCTTCAAAATTTGAAATCGAAACTGTAATTAATGTTGTGTTTAACATTAAACACTGCCATCTGTATGTAAAAACGTGTCTCAAGTTTACAACATTTAATGGAATATAGATGGCACTATACATTTTGTTTTGCTTTTGTCGCAGTAAACTAATAACAAACGAGACAATAGAAGAAAGGAGAAAATAGATACAATTGTTTTTTTCCACTAATTCCCAATTTATATTAGACGAGTTTACTTGCGGCAAGTCTTTGACTGTAGGAGAGGGGCAAGGGGAATAGAAATGGAAAAAAAATTGCTCGTACCGACAATTTTCTGGCAATTCGTTTTGTGTATTTCGTGTTTGTTGACATTTTATATTTATTTAAATTTAAAAAAACTATTGACATCAAATGAAAAAAGAAATATTTTCGAAACCGAATTGCCTTGTATAGACGCATGGAGCAAGTTCAAAAGGGAACGACAATAATTGCCGCAAGTAAACTCGCCTAATATAAATGAGGACTAAGCAACTTTATGTATGTATTTATAACCAGTGTTGTCAAAACTTTGTCGATAAAAATGCTAGATTTTGTTTAAAAAAATGCTAGAAAGTTCTAAAAAAATTAAAAAAGTGCCAAATAAAAGTGCTAAAATGCGGATAGCTAATAATGAGAACTATATTTCTTAAAAATTCATTATACAAACTAGGTAGAGTGAGTGTCTTTAAATTTGCATGCAACACCTCGAAATATTCACCTTAGATCCCATTTATTGTTAATCAGTATAAAATACTATATTGATACAGCCATGTCCGTCTATCTTATTAAATATAGCTCGCAATATTGAAGACAGATCTTTGAAATCTTGCGCGTTGCTAATATTCCTAGGATGTTTGGTATTGAAAATGGTAGATATTTGACCTTTTTAGGGTAGCCTAAACCGAATTGGCTCCAAAAAAATCTTCCTACCAAAAATTATCAATATGGGTCCATGTTTCGGTGTAGAGCGCTACATTAATTATTCGGTGTTATGGTGACTTTAGGCACGTTTTTCAATCGAAGTGGCTTCAATTTAATATTTTGGATTCTCATAAGGCAGACAAATCTCCATACCGAGAATTATCAATATTGGTCCGTGTTTCGGGGTGTCATTCAGAGAGAATATTATCAAATTAGGTCAAGGTTTGCTTATAGCTCTAATATAGCTATTAATGTACCGACCTGTTTTCGGTATTTTGAGAGGTTTAGCCATATTCTCTTTCTTGGGTAGAAAATATTTATGCGAACAATTTTATATCTATCTACTAATAAAAGAGTAAAGTGATTGACTAACTGATTTAACGATTCATCAACGCCCAGACGAAACGGCTGAAGGTAGAATCTTGAAATTTTGGGTGAAGGTCACTCTTGGTCCAAATGTGACAGATAAGGCTGGGTTTTTGGAAATTCGCACTAGAACGGTACGAAAAGTACTAAATGTGATACCATTTGTATTTGGCGAACCGGTAGAGCTAGAACTCTTAAATTTTAAATGAGGGTCGCTGATGGAGTGTAGAATAGATATAGTAAAGAGTTTTTTGGACGTTCGAAATATATGTATGCGAAAAGTACTAAAATGTACTAAATTTTGTACACTTTCGTAGCATGTGAAGGGATAGAGCTAAAAACATGACATTTGGAAATTTGAAATAAGGGTTGAGATGCAGGGTCTATTTAAGGAGATGGTTTTGGAAGCGTGTACTTATGTGAACGAAAGATACTATATGGTACTATACTTGGTACAAATTTAATTCGGAGGTACAAATCGGGCTGGAATCCTGAAATTTGAAATTAACGTCGGAGTGTAGGATTGGGATATGTACGTAGTTTTGGAAATTGTTTACCTAAGTGTACGAATAGTACTAAATCGTACTATAATTGGTACAATTTGGATTTGGGTGAACCGATAGAGCGGGAGCAATAAATTTGGAGTCAGGGTCACTGTATGGGAGTAGGATAGGGGTCAGGATTCAGTTTAAGAAAATAATACTTATGGGTACTAAATGGTACTAAATTTGGTAAAATTTGAATTTTAGGTGAACCAATAGAGCTAGAATCGTGAAATTTGGAGTTAGGATCACTGTTGAGGTGTAAGATTGAGATATGTAGCAAGTTTAAGAAATTTGTACTAATGTGTACTAAATTTGGTACAATTTGAAATGTGGGTGAACAGATAGAATCGGAATCCTGAAATTATGATTTAGGATCACTGCAGACTTGTAGGATTGGGTTATGCAGTAAGTTTTGGAAATTGGTACTACTGTGTACTAAATTTGGTCCAGTTTGAATTGTGGGTGAATCGATAGAGTTGGAATCCTGAAACTTGGATTTAGGTTCACTGTGGGGTGAAGGTTTGGGTTAAGTAGGAAGTTTTGGAAATTGGTACTACTGTGTACTAAATTTGGTACAATTTGAATTGTGGGTGAACCGATAGAGTAGGTATCCTGAAATTTTAATTTAGGATCACTGTTGGGCTGTAAGATTGAGATATGTAGGAAGTTTTAGAAATTTGTACTAAGTGTACTAAATTAGGTACAATTTAAATTGTGGGTGAAACGATAGAGTTTGAATCCTGAAATTTTAATTTAGGATCACTGTGGAGGTGTAAGATTGAGGTCTGTAGGGAGAGTTGGAATCATGAAATTTTAATTTAGGATCATTGTGGAGGTGTAGGATTGGGGTCTGTAGGAAGTTTTGGAAATTGGTACTACCGTGTACTAAATTTAGTACAATTTGAATGGTTGAATCCTGAAATTTTAATTTAGGATCACTGTGGAGGTGTAGGATTGGGATCTGTGGGAAGTTTGGAAATTGGTACTACTGTGTACCAAATTTGGTACAATTTGAATTGTAGGTGAACCAATAGAGTTGGAATCTTCAAAATTGAATTTGGCATCATTGTGTTATATGCAGGAAGTTTTGTTAGATGGTTGAGGAGGGTACTTATGTAAATAATGTGTGATAAATGGAAAATTTGGTAAAATTTGGATTTGGGTGAACCTTTAGAGCTCGAATCAT